ATTTTATTTTCTGATATTTAATTTAATTATCTAAAACAAAAAAAAAAAAAAAAAAAAAAAAAAAAAAAAAAAAAAAAAAAAAAAAGCTAAAGCAACACGGAAAATTTCCTTACAAAAAAGTTGAAATATTTTTATTTTGAATGTTCAAGATATTTTTCATGAATTTTCCTCTTGAAAAAATACTGTTGACAAATAAATTTGCCGCATCTTCAATCCCGCTTCTCAGTAAGATAATAATTCTTGGGGCACGTAGTCAAAGGAGAAATAAACACTCTACTCTGTACATTCAAAATTATAACATCATCAAAATGTTGTAAAGTTTTTGTTTGCTGGGAGTCAGGGACAAAATGATTCTCACTCTCCCAAATAGTAATAACTAGATTTTTCTTCTATCTGCAGATTCTCCTTATGACAGACGATCCTTTTAACTTCAGTCTCAATGGGATAAAGACCATAGGTGGTATCTAGAGCTAAATTCCGGGTCTATCTCTTCTTAACTCGGCATAAATCACTTGCATTTCATAAGAAGGAAGAAGCTATATACATTTACAAGCCACATATCTGATTCTCGAGGGACTAACATTCACTTAAGGACAGGGCTTTGGCGTGTCTTTGAAAATCGTACATCGCCATTGAGAACGGAACTAATAAACCTCTCTACTTCTTCCGAGTTCATTTCACCATCAAATGCAGCGAACTTCCCTTTCCGAGGTTTATATGCCACCAACAGCTTATCTACTGATTTAAATCCTGATTTGTCTAGTGCAGTCAGGAATGCTGGCTGTTTTGTGGCATCCAACAGGCTGTACGAAATAGCATCCCGTGCGCCAAAGGCTGAATTCTGTCTCCTTGTTAGTGTCTTCTGAGATACCTGTAAACAAAAATTATGCAGTATGTGCGAGATATCAAATCATAATACTAGCTAAGAAGTTCAATAACATTATTTTAAAGAAGAATTGAAGCTAGTCATTTTGAAAAAAATTAGTTCAACACAATCATTACAAGAGCCTAAATCAGGAATCCTGTAGGAAATATGCATCTAAATTTCCAACATTTCCTTCGCTCAGCCTTTGCACTTCTCATTCATTAGTTTCACTTCAAGATCTTTTGGTTTTTATGAAGTGTACAAAAGTATAAACGAGCATGATCAACTCTGAGAATGCCTCTAAAATCATTGCTATGGAATAATAACAAAATGGTGTGTAAATCTCCTTTGATCAATCAATAAAATTCGACTTCTATCAAACCCAAAATAAATCGAAAACTGACCATTTTCAAAATTGACTCAAGTTTCTCCCTTGCTCTGGAAGATCTGAAGGCCCCAATTATACAGACTGGCGTTGTCTCACCACATAGAGCATCAAAGTTAGACCCTGTCAACGTAGGTATCTGATTCTCCCATGAGTTGGTGTTTGCTTTGCCCATCTGGCTTGAAGATGCTTTCTTGTTCTTTTTTTCAAAACCATCAAGTAGGATACTAAGATCATGAACCGCAGATTTCAAATCTTTCACACTAATCCCAGTTTTGAGGATATGTTTCTCCCCGGTTGACAACCAACCAACGACAGCTGGAAGTGCATCAACCCCTAACTTTTTTACTATAGGATCAGATGACTCGTGAACCTGCATAATCATTGAAAAGAAAATTATTTTTAATGCTTTGATAAAAACAAAAACAAAGACATAAAGCTAAGTGTCGCCATGCCCAGATGCGAAAATTTTATATTAAAAAAGTCTCCTCATTTCTAATACAATTTGGATTTCACAACATTTCACCATTATGGGAAAAAAAAATTTTTGGTTTGTTAAAGAGCACAATGAAAAGGGGGAAAACCATTTCACCATTATGGGGAAAAAAAAATTTGGTTTGTTAAAGAGCACAATGAAAAGGGGGAAAACCAGTCCAACGTAAAACAACCGCAAAATCATGTAATTTGCAATGTTAGCGTACCTGTGCATCATAGAAGATGAATTTTTTGCGATATAAGCCACTTAGGACACGCCATATTACAGGGGTGTCCTTTTTGGTGGAAAGAAGCATCACTGTAGGCAATTTTTGAGATGGAAATTCAAATCTTTTCAAGTCAACTCGTTTTGAGAAACTTGGCAGATGATGTTGGCAAAACGATTTCAAACTCTTTACAGCCCAATCGCCATTGTACTCCACCAGAGAACCCTTTTCACTTTCTTTGAGCGAGTATATGAATACGCTGGGTATTCTCTGTGGGGATATGCCCAGGTCCTTACATAAAGACTGTTCCATCTGACAGTTTATGCTTCCAACCTGGCAGAGGAAATCAAAGAATGAGTACATGCAAAGATGAAATAACAATTCTTAATCAGAAAATGGTGTATTAATGAGGAATTACCTTTAAGGCTCCCTCCAAAAAATTGGCAACCTCCTCTATGATAGGTTCAACATTTTGGATCACTTTTGATGAGGTTGTGTAAATGAACAAAAGCCAAGTCATTCCTTGGTCAACTATTTCTTTCTTATAAATTTGAGAATTAACGGCCCTGATGCTCTTTGAAGGATTTCTGGAGCCAGATTGGGACTGGGTGCCACCACCAAAACCACCAAACTGACCGCCACTTTTAATATTACCTCCAAAAAGATTTGAGAAGATCTCATCCATGCCAAAACCAAATGAACTTGAGTCGCCAGAACCACCAAAGGAGAAGGAGAATGACCGTGAACCTCCCTGGCCACCCATATTCTGCCATTCACCCGGTCTGAAGGTATATTGGTTTTGCCCTGGTCCTCCACCCCTGAAGTAAGTATATCCGCCCTGATCCCCAGGATGGCCAGCTTCAAATCCAGGCTGTCCCTTCTCGTCTCCATACATATCATAATTTTTTCTTTTTTCTTCATCTGATAAGATATCATATGCTGATGAAACAAGAAGGGAAAAACATAAACTAATAAGAAAAATGTGAAAGGAAAAGGAAAAAAGATGCTTGTGCTCCAAGATAAAGGGAAA